TCATATTTTGACGCTGAAGAAAGCATGCGATTACATGTGACGTCACTGTATGTCGGAAATTGTTCGTTAATGTTAGCATTTTAAATAAATAGCTATTGCTGGCAACTTTTTTTGTTTCAGGTTAATATTATTGTCACGTTATTTCTTTTATTAATAGAGAAAATGCTGTTATATTGCATTAAATTTAAATCATGGCGTCATACGTATTAGCCTGAAGTGTCAATAGTTTTTGTTTCCTGGTTGGACAACAGAAAAATTATTTACGAATTGGTTGTTGCTTGGAAAGAATGAACTAATTTCTTTCATACTGAAATGTTTTTATACATATGCTTTTCAGGGGTATATATAACTTCCAAATTTTGCTTTGGCTGCAGGCTGCTAGTTTCTTTTAAATTTGAATGAGAAAATAACTGCACACCAAAAAGTAGCTATTAAACCCATCTATGACTTTATTAAAAAGTGCTATAAGTAAAACAAGTACCCAGCTTAGACCTTCATCGACAAAGTATTGTAACAAAGTCTAGTAAGTCTATCGACAAAGTCTAGTAATTTATATATAGAATGCGCCAAGAGAGCATTTGAAATCCATTTAAAGATTTATTTCTATTTTACTTCTTTATAAAATAACTTAACTTGGATTAGCTATGCTTTATTGTCAAATAATACTATGAAAATAGCACATCAGAATGTATTTACATTTAGTTATAACCGACGGGAAAACTTCCGACTTGCTCTAAAAATCAAACTCTCTTGTCTCCCTCTGACTTCAGTTACCAAAATGCTCTTTTTCTCATTCAAGTGTGTAAAGTTCCGGTATAAATGATTCGGAACCTTTTTTTATATAAACTTGCAATCAAAAGGAAAGCTGAATTCACGCACTAGACAATATTTCGTCTGCTGTTTCGAGAATTTGCTTTATCAGATTCTCTATATCTAGCGTCATTATGCCAGATTATACAGCGAAGTATTACGGAATAAAGAGACACTGCAGTTTGAGATTTTAGCACTTTTTTGCTTCAAAACTGAAAACGAGAAAGTAAGGTAAAAATTAACTTTATTCTTGATATTTAAAGCATTTTATTCACATGCCTGATATTACTTGCGATAAAAGTTTCTGAAAAGGATCTCAATGATTTTAACTACCGCTTACTGGGAAAAGATCTACTTGTTCATAATCTTTATTACTTTATGAAAGCTTTTGAGACAAAATTAATCCTGTATGTAAGTCAGTTACTAAATAAGAATTCCCTCACTTTCCGAAATTGATGGAGTGTGTGAAGGACTCTACAACATGGAATTCAAATAATTATGTACAATGCATTTCAAATTTGAAAGAGGAATTCAAAAGCAGATTTTCCGATTTCAGTTAAACTGAAATTTTTATCAGAATGTTATCCTCGCCATTTTCAGTAAACGTTGGAAGTGTTCCACCTGAACTTCAATCAGAATTTATAGATTTACAGTGTGACTCTGCAGTAAAATGCAAGCTTTTTTAAAATCCTACATTAATTGACTTTTATTTGGAGTACGTGACTGAAGAGAAGTATTTAGGAATTCGTAAACATGCATCCTTCCTGTCTTCTATCTTTGGCAGTACCTATAAATAAATTATATACCTATATATTAAACCATATATTGAAGCTTTAATCAAGAATAAGCAATGTCAAATTTCTCATTAAAACTAAAGTAACTACCCTCTCCCGCTAGTAATGTAAGTTTTTTCTCTTTATTTTTTACCGTAAATGCATTTTGTAACATCGTTGTGTGCAATCATCTTTATATTTTTTTACCATAGTTAAAAAATGTTGCAAAACATTTAAATTCGACTTCCGTATGACGTTTTGGAACCAATGCATATACACTGTCTACCAATAAGTATTTGGACACCTATACAAATGACGATATCTGCGGTCCTAAGGTACGTCACGGACTCCGCTGGTACATATCGTGTAGGAAACAGCATCGGCTTTAGTCGCATGCAAGATGCCTCGCAGTTCGGAGCTCTCTGATTTCTAGAAAGGTATAATTATAGGGTATCACAAATGTGGCCGATGCTTTAGGGACATATCTAGCGATCTGAAGTACCCAAAATCGACAGTGGTCTATGTGATTAAGAAGTGGAAGGTGAGCGGTGATTGTCGGAATGTGCCCCGAGTCGGCAGACCAACGAAACTGGGAGATAGAGACCGACGAGTGCTGTCCAGAGAAATTCGGAAGAACCGCACCCACCGATGGCCCTCATCCGCGAGGAGTTTCAACAAGCATCCGGGAGTATTGTTTCAATGAATACTATCCGTAATAAAGCACATCTGCTTGGCTTTCATGGTCGTGCTGCTGCCCATAAGCCTTTGATCACAAAGTCTAACCGCGCTGCTCGGCTAATATGGTGCAAAGCACATAGAAATTGGACCGTAGATCAGTGGAAACGGGTTCTTTGGAGTGATAAATCAAGGTTCACCCTTTACCGTTCGGATGGCAGGGTCTGGGTCTGGCGTCTACCTCCAGGTACGTCTCCTGCCAGAATGCATTGTGCCAACAGTCAAGTTCGGCGGAGGTGGAATTGTGGTCTGGGGGTGTTTCTCCTGGTATGGGCTGGGACCTTTGGTTCCCATTCATGGTAAGCTCAACTCCGATACCTACTGCACTATTCTGAATAACAATGTGCTTCCTACGTTGTGGCAGTTTTACGGGTTGTACCCCTGTTACTTTCAGGACGACAATGCCAGTTGTCATGTTTCGACGTTAACTAAGGCTTGGTATGGTGCCAATGGAGTTCATCGAATGGACTGGCCTGCCCAGAGTCCAGACCTGAACTCTATCGAGAACCTCTGGGACGAGTTGCATCGCCGAATTCAGGGGTGCACTACCCGTGCAAAATCGGTGAAGGAACTTCTATGTCTTCTCCAAGCCGAGTGGAAGAAAATACCACTAGCTGTCATACAAAGACTTGTGGAAAGTATGCCCGGAGGATCCACGCTGTAATTACCTCTCGTGGAGGCTCTACCAACCTATTGATTTTGAATAAAGTTAGTTTTTCTTTTCTATCACCAGGTGTCCAAATACTTATTGGTAGTCAGTGTATATACAAATCTGTAACACTATCTCTTCGCTTAGTATCATTTGTAGTCTTGAAAATGGACTCCCTTTTTTATATAAATTTTATGACTACACTACTACACTATTGTTTTGACAGTCATGTGGCCCGCGGATCTTTGTGAATTTATTGATGGGGCTCTCGGGCGGGAAAGGTTTGAAGACCCCCTACTTTAAAATATGTTTTAAAATTTTTTCTCCTCTTTAATGATAACATATGGATCTCTTATTTTCACTGCTGTCATTTAAATACCCCAAAATTCGTAGTTTTTTTTTTTTTTTTTTTTTTTTTTTTTTTTTTTTTTTTTTTCGCCGGGATAAATGTTTCTCGTAAATAATTCTGCAGTGGGTTCTTCTTTCAGTGATATGCCGTGGAGAGAAAGGATGCACATTATGTTTTGTCGTCTTTTTAAGATTAAAATCAGCATTAATCACTTTGTCTGCATATAATACTGAGCATTTTAATGATTTTACAAGTGTCCTTTGACTTGGCGGATTTTTTTTCAACATTGAAGGTCTTACCTTTGTAACATTCGAAATATTTCGTTTTCTCTTTGGGTATGTATTTGTAAAACTTTTTCCACTTGAACCCAAACTCTGACTATTTTCCTTCTTCTTGTTAACACTATTACCTATCGTAGCTTTAGATGTCGAAAAATCATGGCTTTCACAGCGGTGTTTAGCGACCAGATACGAATAATATTCTTCGGAAAGAGCACAATCGTAACCTTCTATCCACTGCTTCTTTAAAGGATCCATTTTTCATAAAACAAAATTGTAAAGTATCAGATGATAATTTATGCTTTCAAAAATATAGTTGCAGTTACCAAAAGAATTCTCAAGCAGACGATTGTTTTTATAGCAAAGCAAAGTCGTCTAAAAATGTGCGAACAGCCTCGATCTATTTATTTAATTAACAAAAATAAAATTTACATATTCATTTTCCAAGCCAATCAGTGTTTGAACAAAATCTTTCGCTGGAAATGCTCGCAATTCATCTCTCTGAAATTCTGTTCATTCTTCTGAAAGTATTTCTCATTAATGTCAGTTTTGCCTCTTTTAAAAATTTTAAACCATTTCAACATCGACGGATATCTCGCTCTCGCTGTGTGTTTTACAAATTCCATTTCCACAAAACTGACGTTTGGAGTAAGACAAAGTAGGACATAAATATTTTCATTATCACTGGTAAAAATCTTTATTTTAATCTCTTTTTACCAAAATATGTTTTATGATATATACATTAAAATAATCTTTCTCATGTTCAATTTATAATAAAATAAATAAGAAAAAAATAGAAGAAAGAAAGAAAAACTTCTATTATATAATACCTTAGTTAATTTAAAGACTTTTTTATCAAATAATATAACTTCATTAGCTACAGAATTTGGAATAAGATGTTTTAGATTCTGTCATTTAAATAGTAAATTATTCATAAAAATGCAAAATAATGTAGTTAAAGTCATCAAATGTTACGTAGTGCATGCAATTATAATATTAAATGCTATTCGTATTTTGTCAAGAAGTGGCTGAAGATGAAAATCTAAAGTTACGCCGAACTCAATGTGCAAAATGAGTCGATAATTGTATCAATAAACATTCTTAAGTATAATCTAGCAGTTACTTTGAAATAAATAATAAATTATTAATCATCAATTTTTACAGGTGAGATATGCTGTTGGTAAAAACAGAAATATCTGAACTTTGTAGTAAATGTAATTTATGCCATAAATATGTTCATTTTACCCAGAAGCGCATTAGGCTTAGAATTTAAATAAGATAAATCTGTTCAATTAACCGATGAGCAAGGCGAGTCATGAAATATATTACCAGTAAATTTAGTAAATTTAGATAAATTTATTTCTCATGCTGATATGAACGTTTTATACTGGACTTTTGTTTTGCAGCAAAACCTGTAGCAATACCTCACGTGATTCCTGTAATCAAGCATGTCCAGAAACCGATTCCTTACTTCACTTCATTTCCTGTCCAGCAAACCGTTCCTGTACCTAAATTTATCAGCCTGCCGATTCCAGTTCGAGTTCCAAAGCCAGTATTCATCCACGTGCCAAAGGTTGTTCCAGTGGCTAAGAAGTTCCCCGTACGAGTACAAGTAAAAGTGCCCAAGCCTTTTATTGTACCTGTCTACAAGCATGTTCCTGTGCCTATTCCCCACAAAGTGCCTAAAATTATCAACGTTATAAAAGAAGTGCCACATTATGTCAAGAAACATGTTCCAGTATAGTAAGTACAATTTCTTTTTATTAAAAATATGTTAAAGTCAGTTACATACTCCTATGGTCAAAATGTCTACAAAAAAGAGATACGTGTGTAAACTTTTAATCATACATGAAGTAAAAAACAGTAACCAAGGAGCAGTGGTGTAAACAAACTGAGAGTCTTGACCCAACTGACTCGTACTAATAGCCTTTTATCGTGTCAGTTCATAGTCGTGTAAACAAACTGAGAGTCTTGACCCAACTGACTCGTACTAATAGCCTTTTATCGTATCAGTCCATAGTGGTGTAAACAAACTGAGAGTCTTGATCCAACTGACTCGTACTAATAGCCTTTCATCGTGTCAGTCCATAGTGGTGTAAACAAACTGAGAGTCTTGACCCAACTGACTCGTACTAATAGCCTTTTATCGTATCAGTCCATAGTGGTGTAAACAAACTGAGAGTCTTGATCCAACTGACTCGTACTAATAGCCTTTCATCGTGTCAGTCCATAGTGGTGTAAACAAACTGAGAGTCTTGACCCAACTGACTCGTACTAATAGCCTTTTATCGTGTCAGTCCATAAGTTCGTGCGCATTAAGAGTATGCTTGGAATTCACTTACTAAAACAATACAATTTTGAACCTTTTGAAACTTGTCATCGTTCGATTAACATATTATTCAGTTCATCACGAACTTTCGTAAATATCGAACGCGTTTTAGTACCCATAGAAGATGAATATAGGTAATCAGTACAAATGTGCTGTGCTGCATTTTTTATTTTCGTGTGGTGAATCTGCCAGGTTTGCAGCGATAAAAATTAATAGTGTACATGGTGAACACACTATTAGTGTAAGGACTGCCCAGAAATGGTTTAAAAAATTTTAAGTTGGAAAAAGCAGCATGGATGATGAATCCCGTTCAGGACGTTTTGAACTGTTAGAACCAAATCAAACGATTAATTCAGTAGTTTATAGTGAACAACTTTGCCGTTTAAACTCAGAATGGATCAAAAAACGCCCACGATGGGTGAATATCAAGAAAGTGTTGTTTCATCATAATAACGCTAGACCGCATATGGCTCGAACAATTAAATGCCGCAAACCTTGGTGGCGCTTCGAAGGAGGCATAACTCGTGGTCAACCTAGGCTGACGATTTTTTTTCACTATGTCTAAGAAATAAGTCACAGGTCAATGGTGGACGTCTGCGCATCCACCGAAAACGCATAGAACACAGTTGGATATCAACTGTCCCCCAGAATGGGGTCCCATATCCCCTAGAGCTGCCAAGGGAAGCCAAACCCCCAAGAACCACTTACGATATCAGAAACATGTAATAACCCCACATCCGAGAGGCAGACAAGACAATACCGTATGGTCCCTACTCAGCCTGAACCATCCTCCGAATGAACGAAGGTTCTAGTTTTGTAAAATGTGATTATATACCACTATGGTCGAGACTGCCTAGGTACAGATCCTAGCCAGTTTTCTGGCTTAGACCCCAGGGAGGGAACAGTTTTAAGACAAACTGAAGAAGATATGAATACCTTTTAACTGCTACCTGTGGTACTCAATGCTTTTCAATAAAGTTTACATCAGTATGCATTTATGGCTAGCTAACATTTAAAAGAGAGTTTTTATAAAAGTAGAAGTTAAACTCTCTCTCTTTCTCTAGCATTAAAAATTTTACAAATATTTACATTAAAGTTACAAGCAAACCAAAAATTTAAACAATAACAGCAGAGAAGTTAAAAGTTACTTAACAGCGAAAAAATTCCTACATAAATAAATGTGCTAGGAATATGTATTTAACTTTTTAAGAGGAATAAATGTGTATTTAACTTTTTATTTTTTCTTCAAAACGAAGAGCTTAACAAGGGATTTATTTATTATTTAAAAATTTATTGTCTTTAGATAAAGAAGTAATTTTAAAATTTAATGCAGTTAAAGTACAGTTTAAAAGCAGGCATTTATATGTGATTTTTTAAGAAACCGACTTCCGGTTTCTAATAGAGTGATTTGTATCATAATCTTTAATACAAGTTTATCAATAGTTCAATGGAAAAAAATATGCTTGTTCTGTTAGTAATCATAACCCTAAATTTCAGATTCTCATAGCCAAAAAAGGATCTAAAAGGTTCAATGATAAGAGGCCTTAATATTAATAGCGGACAAGACGGGAAGGTGGTTAATGACTCTGACTTCCGTACCGAAAGGCCCGGGTTCGAATCCTCGGGAAGTCATGGATTTAATTTGCCCATATGTATGTAATTTACCCATTCCTTCATAGGAGGCAACGGTGAGCCACTTGTTAGATGCTTCCATAATAAAGAGGCCACCGCTTCCGGTCTTATGAGTGGCCAACATTTATAAACAGCTAAAGCTTGCAATTCGAGGGGGGGGAGAATTTTTTTCCTAAAAGCGAACACTGGCCCAGCCAACAGTATGAATTTCAATAGAAACTTCAAACACGTAAATCTCAAATGATTTTCTAGAGCCACAAAATCGGCAAATTTCTTCAAAAACCGCCAAATTTCTATCCTGAATATTTCTAAACGTAATGTAACTATTCATAACACTGCAATTTGCATAAAATCTTATACGATAATTCATTATATAGCAGTTAAATCCATATTTATTGGAATCATAGGAAGTACTATAATTTCCGTTTATAAATCCGTCTCAAAATTTTATATACTTAAGTCAATTAGTTAAGATAGATATGTATTACATGTAAGTATATATGTAAAATATTAAGAAGTAGATGCAGATAATAGGCGGGATGACAAGTAAATTTATGAAAAACATTATTAATGCACAGGTAGAAGTTTTCAGCAATTAATGCAGAATTTAAAGTGCAGTGTTTTGATCTGTGCTTTCAGTTAAAAGCTGATTTTTGAGGTATGATATGGCGGTTAATTTAATGTATATGATATAATGCAAAATGCTATTTATTCCGTTTTAATGTTTTTAAGCTCACGAAAGAAGTCATTGAAAATTTAAAAGAAATAATCAAAATTGATTTTCAAAATATTTAATCTGAGGTTTTTATGCAAAATGTTTAGATTTCTGAATGATATGAGCCTCTTATGAGATTCAACTAACATTTTCTAAATTCAAGAATATTTCATACAAACATTAATTTATTTTTTATCTAGAAAATTACTGTCAAAGATTAATTTTGCTTATTTTACAGCGTGGATTCACATTTACCTGATTATGGAAATGGCAACACATTTACTGGTAGCAGTTACAGCAATCATTATGACAGCGATTTTGGAAATGGGTACAGCAGTGATGGCGACAACTTTTTTGGTGGAAACCAAGGAAGCTCCCTTCATCAGGATGGGCCTTACAATAGCTTTGCGTTTGATTACGGAAAAGGTGGTAGTGATGACTTTGGATCGCATCAGAGTTATAGTAATATGCAACAGAACATTGATTTAAACGCTGCGCAATTTAATGAAAGAGAGAAACTGAATTTCCAACAGCAGGGGAAAAATTTCCATCAAAGGCCTTTCTATCCACCCCAGTCATATCCCCGGGCTCATCGCTTGCAAACTAACAACGCTAACAACGGAATAACTAAAAGCCAAATGTATTCTAACAACCACAATTCTAATATCAACAAACACCCTGCTGGTGTACACGGGACAAGCTATGAACTGGATGCCGATGTCAGTCCCCGTGGTGTGAAGATAAACGATGCTCCTTATAGCTCAGAGATTGCACCAACTAATTACAACCAAAATGGGCAGGATAACGCACCAAATGGTCTTTACTACAACAATGGGCAAGCAATTAATGACGGTAGAGAAAATTTAGGCTCAAACAATTATGCAAGTAATACTTACGGTTCCCAGCAACTATCTAGCAATCCTCAGTATACTCAGTCTTCAACACAATATTCACAACCTGTATATAATCCTGCAGGATATGCTGAATATCTAATGAGCCAACAGCAAAGTAATCAACAGCCTGAATATTCTCAGAGTAATATCTCGCAGTATTCACAATCTTACGAAACGAGTAAAACAGCTCAGGACAGTCTTCAAAATGTAATGGCACAAGCTTCCAATCAAGGAATTGCATCACAAATATCCAGTCAAGGAGTCATGTCACTACCCAGTCAAGGAGTTATGTCACATATGTCTAATCAAGGTGTCACGACTCAAGCGGATGCCCAAAGTATGATGTCGCAATCTAGTCCAGGGCTGATGAATCAACAACCCAGTCACAGTACAATGTCTCAAATGTCTAATCAAGGAATGGGATCACAATCATCAAATCAAGGCCTAAATAATCAAGAATCTAACCAAAATATGAAACAACAGGTGTCTAACCAAGGTATGATGGCACAAGCTTCTGATCAAGGCATGTTGACACAAGCATCAAAAACGCAAAACTATTATCAGCAATATCCATCTAATACTTTTAACAATGGATTCAGATCTTCACAACAAATGAATGGATTTAGCAATATTCCACAAATAGAACAATATTCAAATTATAACGCTCCAAAGCCGAAATATCCAGAAAAACAAAATTATGATTTTGATAACATGTACAAACAAGTAAATGAGTATCAAATGGGCCGTGGCAATTCTCTACCATGGCAGACAAATAATTATCAGAATCAAAATACGAAAGACAATAATTTTCAACAATTCCAACAATACAACCAGCACTTATTTGGGCAAACACCTACGCAAAATAATGAAGGACTGAAAAATGGTTTTTTTAATAGTCCAGGTAGTCTGAAACCGGGTTCTCAAGCCATATCTTCCATAAACACTGAACCAAAAAATAATTTCCATAACTTTAATGATTACTTACCATCTGGCTCTTCTGCTAGTAGTAGTAGTTACAGCAATAGTTACAGTCCGCCACATGCTGGATTCCAGGCTAGCAGCAGCGAAAACACGATGTTTAGGCAAAATGAAAAATTTGATCAAAGTTCCAGTCAAAATTCCTACTCCTCAAGCTCAAATATTGCTGTTCCTGGGCTTTTTACACCTTCTGGTTCTTCAGTGTCATACAGTAGCAATGCATATGGAAACAATTATGGTGATGCTCGAAGTTACTCACCGCAAGCCACGAATGAAGTCTACAGTCATAGCCATGGTTCTCAAATGACAAATTCAGTTAGTAAAAATCATCCAACTTCAGCATCAACTAGTCATTCCACTCATATTGGTTCGGGAACCTATAGTCAACCATCTAGTTCCTTAAGTAGCTATTCAAGTAAAAGCTATTCAAACAGCAATTCCTATGACGCTTCTTCTCAAGCTTCTTACCAAAGCCCATCATTTGAGTTTTCTCCTCCTGAACCGTCTTTTGAATTCTCCCCTCAAGCAACCTATCAGATGCCAGTTCAATCTAAACCAGAAATGCCATTATTTAGCCAAAATGAATCTGAAACATTAACCTCTTTCAGCAACACCAAACCGTTGTTAACAAATCCAGGGATTTCGACTTCGTACAGCTACAGTTACAGTCAGCAAGTTAGTGATGAAATACCCGACTCCTCAAGCTCAGCAATAACCAATCCCATTTTAAATATTGGCCTACCTAAAACATTTTCGCAACTCCAAAGCGCGCAGCAGTCACAGAATCGTGAACAAAACGATCCATTTGCCTTGCATGCAAAGTCTGGTACCAAAGCACAAAGTTCCAATGCCCTTCAGAATTCCAAACTGGATGAAATGGAAGAGCATGTCCAGTCATCAGCCAGCTCAATCATTAAATTCTATACTAATTCTCCAGATTCTGAAGAAGGTAAGAAAGGTCAATCATTTACATTTATGGATTCAAGTGCTTTAGAATCTTCACCATCCGCCACTTTCTATCATCCGGATGACCCAACATCCAGTTCAAAAATAGGCTACAGCAGTGAAGACCTGAAGATTGTCCAAGGTCCATCTTATGGTCAAGACCCTGCTGAGCCTCTTCAGACATCGCTGGATGCGTATGTTCCCGCTCAACCAATATATCAGGCTTCCAGTAGCGATCAAAATACAGTGTATAAAGAAGCTGTAAGTGAAAATGATGGTGTTTATAAAGAAGCCGCCAGCATAGCTTCTGAATCGAACACTAATAAATCGCGGTGAAAACTCCAGAATGAAACGTTGTTTTATATAAGACCATTCTGTGCAGTGAAATTCGAGCTCAAAATATTACATGTTCCTGTTACTTCATCAGATAAGTTGAAATTTGAAACTCTAGTTACCCATCCCATGTGATAACGTCGTACGAGAAATACGCACAAACTTTGCAAACGATTAAATGATGGTGGCCGTCATATTGTTTCACAAGATTCATTGTCTTAAATATAGTAAATATAGTAACATGATAAGCATAATATTGCTCTTAGCTAGGAGTATCGAACACAAGTGAAAAAGTGTGCTATTATCACCTATTGACGCTAGACGTCAAAAAACTGTTTTGTACATATGTTTCCTTTAATGTCTTCTTGATATTTAATGTTTTCTTGATTTTCTTGATATTTGTTACTTGATATTTCCAAAAAACTGTGCGAACAGATTTTGAAGACCAATAAATTTATTATGATATTTTAAATGATTTTCTTTTTTGTCCCGAAAAGAGTGAACATTTTCAAGAACGTATAAATCTAAATATTAATGCAAGTTTGAAGTTTGCATTAAGTGAAGATTTTAACTATTTTTTAAATAATAGCGATTTAAATGGGGAAGTATCATGCAAAATGAAATCTTTAATGAATGGTCTTATAATACACTAGCTTCAGTTTAAAACATAGAAATTTCTATAGCAATTCTAAAAGATAGATTGCTGGCAGTTCTATAGCAGTACTTTCCCTCTGAATCTTAGACCTAAAATAAAATATGGAAATGCTATTTATTTTTTCTTATTCTATAATATAAATAATTTGTATAGAAATAAAAAGAAATTTCTGTGAAAATATTTTTCTTCTTTCTAAAGTATTTATACAAAATAACATTATTTTCGAGACAAAGAGCTTAGCTGGAAATCATGTAATTTATGCCAATTTAAATCAGTTCTTTCAAAAATACGTTCAAAAACAATTCAACTTCAGTGTATGTTATATTCAATTCAATGTACTTACCGTTGTTAAACTGTTAAAACTCATTGTTAGAAATCCCAAACGTTATTAGCAAAGAAATTACTTTCATCTTCTTATCTTCTAAATATCTTCTAAATCATTTTCTTTAGTCATAAACTGCTGATAAATAAATACCATATAGGTTCGAATGTAAGACGGCCTCGCATATATGAGTTAACTTCCGATAGTGTTAATTAAATTATCTAAAAATTGCATCATTGGATAAAATTAAGTCTTCTTTTAAATTAACACCTTCTTTTAGCATCTGGGGTATAAGAGATAACACATTTTTTTTCTAATACTGTGCCGCTAAACTGCGTATTGTTTCAAAAAATTATTTTATGAGAAAAAGTATGGGTTTATATTTGGGCGAACAGAATTAAGGTTAATTCTTTTTTACTTCCTTGTACGAAGTAAACAAAGTATTGTAATCGTGAAAAATTCGGGTATCTTATTTCAACGGAAATATCCATTTTGACCCATCCTAAATCAATTCAAATGATTCACGTACGGAGAGAATAAAGTACACTTTCCCCCAAAACGGAAATGTAAAATGGATTAAAAATGTATTCAAAACGAATTTTTTTAATGACGCCTGTACGTACCTATATATGTATCTTGCATAACTGAAAAACGATTAACCGTAGAACGTTGAAATTTTGCACATGGAACTGCCATACCCTCTAATTATGCACTTCCTGTTCTATTGCAAATGGCAGTACCAAACGTGTGTATATATATATACGTAAGTAAAGTCCTATTAAAATTCTTATATTTCAAATTAAATTAAGAAAGCTAATAAAGTAAAAGATTTACAGTTTGATGTCTAAAAAAAATTCCAATTTACAAATTCGTAAATTTTAAGTATCATTTTAAATGTTATTATTAAAATTTTTTTAATTTTTAAAATGTTTAAGAAAAATGTTTACAAATATAAAATAGTAAAAGTTAAATCGGTATGAAAAAATAGCTTTACCAGCAACGGCTAATAGTAGCGGATTGCCGATTTAAACACTACCAGAGGTGACCACTGTCCTGAACTTCCCAAGGACAATCTTTTGGTACTAAACGATACTATTTAATACTTGTAAAAACTTGTTAACTGCTACTATTTAATACTTGTAAAATTTTTTCTTAAACGTTGCAAAATTTAGAAAAAATTTTAATACATTTTAAAATTTACGTATTTGTAAATTGTAATTTTTATAGTCTTCAAATCGTATTTATTTTACTTTATTAGCTTTCATAATTTGATTTGAAGTATACGAATTTTAATAGGAGTATTCCCCTTTAATTATAATTATGTTTAATTAAACCATTGCAGCCTAGGCACAGAACCAAAGTTCTTACACCCTTGCATTTGAATATTAATATATATATACCACTTCCTTACCTCACTTTCCTTACGTTTACTTTTTATGGCCTTTATTTCTGCAATCGTTGGTCATAGTCATATACTTCCAATGACAGAAATGTTTTAAATGACAAAAATAATCATGTTTCGGCAATATAAACTTTAAAAAATGTTCTTCGGCAAATAACGAAATCTAACTTTTAATGTGGTCTCCCGGTATACTAATGTTTGGAGAAATTTTATTTTCATTATGGAAAAATAAAATCGTAAGAAATTTGGTTCTTTTATAAAAAAATTGTCCCGGGTATTTGAAAATTTGCAGTTTTTGGTGTCATTTTCAGTTTGCCATGAGAGATCGGTTAATTGAGCTAGAATAATTCACAGTAAAAAGTTTAAACGATGTGCAACAAGAAAAATGTATAATTTAATAGACCGTACGAGGAAGTCACGTGGTGTCTCCATCAAATTTTTAAAATTTGATGAAAGTTTAAAAAAAGAAAATTTGAGTGCAAGTATGTTTTGAAGTAAATTGCCATGACAACCCTTTTTAAAAATTAGATAAAAATACTAGTTGTCTAAAAGCTATTTTAACACGTCTAATCGTCAATAAAAAAGCTGAAAAAAAGTAAATTAAAATACGAAAATGTAGCGACTTTCCAGGCAGACGAAATTAAAAATAAACATAGCATTAATTTATTTTAGCTATTTTATTCTATACTTCTCATATTTTAGAAGGATTATTTATCACAATTTAAAGAACAAAAAGAATCGAAACAAATCTCAAGAATAACCGGCTAACATTCCAACAGTATAAAAATCAAACAATTATCAAGGAATAAGGCTTTAATTGCAAAACAAATATGAAATTTTAGAAATATTATTGAGATGATTAAACTTAAGGCGAAATCCAAAAAAGCGATAAATCTGTAATAACTACCTACTCAAAAATTCAAATTTTGATTTCAATCGTAGATAAAAAATAAATAAAGGTATTTCATTAATTGAGGAAAATTACTTCTGCAGTAAATTATCCTACAAACTACAATTTTTTTTAAAAAACCTCACATCCGTTTTGAAGATCAAAAGGCGGTTAAAATTAAATCTAGTGTTCTTTTCTATAGTAAAGATGTCTTGGGACGTGTTTTAGTCTACTTACTGCAGCAGTGAAGCGTGACCCTCAACTCCGCCAAAGAGTGAATTCTATTATTGTTTACGCAGTCTTCTTCGAGAGCGGTGGAAACAAAAAGCCAATTACCATCTAAAGCAATGTAATCGCGATCAGGAGAACAAAATAACCTTAATTTCGATCACGATGTTTCAAACTACAGTAACTTGTTTTTGGTACAGTTTCTGTCGAAATTGGAGTGGCACTAAATTGTTTTTGACACAGCAATATGTGAGTGTAATTTTTCCAGGATATCCACGTTGACACACTCCTTAAAATATCGAATATCTAACCTCAATCAATCGAAGCATTCTGTTCTACTTAACGTAAATGCTTTCCATGTCTTCCAAACAATTCTTTTCTAAAGTCTATTATGCATATTCTATTTTCTAAAGTCATATAGAAAAAATCATTTAATACAACTTTAGTATATATTTCATTAATATACACAGGGCCTGAAATGCCTTTCCAGATTCTTAATATGAAACTAGAAAAATTTTATTGTAACTGAAAATCAACACCGAAATAGCAAATTTAACGCATTTTCATTGCATAAAATTTAGAAAATTTCAAATTTTTTACTGTGTTTACTTGAAAAAGAATAAAACATTTCCATTTCAACCGTTTAGCTGATTAGATTTGGTTTGAGTTAGTAGATTATGGCGAACCACAGTAAGGCTATTTGCCTACAGGAAGGGATGGGATGTCTCTGTGGAGGACTTTCCAAAGGAAACTGGCTCGTATACACGTTACACATAGAAAGAAAACAATGAAACCGCTCATGCAGCTAGCCTGTCCGCCCGGAATCGAGCCCAGGTCTGAACTACCTCGGACCCGTCTCCCCGAGGTGCTCTCTTTCACTATCGGAGATAAAGTCGGGCTATCACTTATATGGCGCACAAGGCTCTTGCCAACGACAGGCCCGTGTGACTCCATGCTACAAAGAATGTCGTGGGCTTCCGCTGACCTTGAGGGCAAGTAAATTTGGTGACAACAACAAAAGTTAATCTGGAGAAGCTATAACTGTAAATGCAGTACTATACTGAGACATAATATCGAACTTTTTAAGGGATCATTTGTATGATATGGTGGTGGGTGTATTGAGAATACGGCAAAGCACACTAGGCCTATCTGCCTAAGGGCAGAGATGCTTTCGTGGAGGACTTTCTAAGGGAAACACGTTACACATGGGGAAAACCAGGAAAACGCCCATGCAGCCCGTTCGCGGGATTCGAACCTCTGACCGAACTACCAGTGTTCAGCGATTTTACCGCTCGGCCGCTGGCAGATGATATGGAACTCGAAGAAATGTGGTTTCAACAGAATGGGCCACAGGCCATGCAGTAAGGGAAACCATCGAGTTTTAAGACAAACTTTTCCTGGTCGTGTGATTTTCAGATATTTTCAGATTTCAATAAAAAAATTAAATAATAATTTACTGTGTTTCATTTTAAATTAGATCCATCATATCACCGCCCAGCTTCTGAAATTCTTTTTTTTTTATATATTAAAATTTCTTTACAGACTATTTTTTTAAATTTATAATATTAAAATTTAAAAGAGACTTTTACATTTTAAAATAATCTTTCGAATTTGCTTATGATATTTTCCATATTTTTAGACTACTGCTATGCACTTGGCTGTTACCACAGCTAAAGATTTAAATATTCCACAGTGCAGCTTCATTTCTCGGAATATTATCTATAGTTTGAGGACAAATAAAAGTACTTTTAAATAAAAATATTTGCCTTAGCAGTAAGATAAAAATCATTTTCTCATTTTTTATATCATTGCGAGGTCAGTAGACATAATTAACTTTCACAGGTGCTTTCAAAATGTATAAAATATTGAAAATTCCCTTATGACCCTATACGGCTATTAGTATTCATTTATTTCATCAAATAATACATTTTACTAGATAAATGTTTTATTCCTTAAAACCCCAAAAATTTGACGAA